TTTATTGCTAATCATTATTCCCAAAGATTTCATAATATTGAGCATATACTCTTTTACTATTTCATAATTATCTTTTACCAATTGACTACAATGAATCAACGTAGGAACAAGCCACTAGGAAAAGATGGATTTGTCACCCTAACTAATGAAAAACCTAATTATTACTAGGCTCAAAACACATCTATATGTGTCTATAAAAGCATTAGTTCTCCCATACATCTAAGTTTTTAGACAGCAAGAAGAATGTGAGTTGTACTGGCTCTTAAGGTTATCTTTAGCTTGCTTTTTAAATTCTTACTCAAAATAACAAAATGCTTGAAATATTTAGAAATAATATAGTTTCTCCATTAGTCCCTGTTTAATTGAATGCTTTTAGTATCAATCTCCAGCTTTCATTTCCTCCTTCCTTTAATTCAGTTACTCATTCGACAAACATCTGATGGATTCCTACTGTGCACCCGCCCCATTTAACTTATATTTTCATGGAGGAGAGACAACCAAAAAGTAAGGAAATCAAATATAATATAAGTTAGATGACAATAAGTACTACAGAGAGAAAAATAGCCAGAGAGAAAGCAGTAGGGGAGTCGTACAATTTTTAAAATAAGGTGGTCAGAAAAAGCCTCCTCTGGGAAGTGATACCGAGTTTAGACCAGAGGGTGGGGAAGGAGAAAGTTCTGAGCTCTCCAGCATAGAGCACCTTAGCTAGAGTACAAGGAAACGAAGTCAGCAGAAAGAAAGTGTGGCCAGGAGTTCGGGAAAGTGCTGAGGAATGTGGAAGCCCAGTTGGGCCCTTTCTGTGGGATTTTTGTCAGGTGTTATAAAGAAGGGGATTCCTGCAGTTTCATCAAGTCACAGCAGCCCTGGGTTCTCTGTTTCTTTGCCTTGTATTCCAAGTCAGCCTTTTCTCATGTCCTTCCTTTCTCGCCAAGGCTGACTATGTAGTGGACTTCACTCTCTCTTTCTGGCTGGCCTGAAAACAAGACTGGCTCTTTGATTTGGTGTGGTTTGGTTTGGTTGGCTTTGTTTTGTTCATTGATTTGGTTTGGTTTGTTGACATGGGGTCTCACTAGGTTGGGCTCAACTAAGCTGCCTAGAACTAGAACTGCTCAACTAGAACTCATTATATTACCCAGGTTGGCCTCAAACTCTGGATCTAACAGCCTCAGTCTCCCAAATGCTAAGATTACAGGTATGTGCCACTGCACCTAGACTGGCCCTTCCTGTTTCAAGGAATATGCTCCTAATTGCTGAAGAATGAAAACTGTCAGATAGTATCAAAATAGTTGTAAAAATAATCTTTTTCAAATTTCAGACAATACGCTTTGATTATATTTATACTGTCTCCCCATCACAGCATTCCCCAACCCACTCCCACTTGACTTCATGCATTCTGTCATATGCTTTTTTCTGACAACTTTGTGTACTTTCTTTCTTTCTTTCTTTCTTTATTTCTAATGGGGCTTTTTGCTACTCTAACATTCCCCTTCTCTTAGAGGTAACCCTAAAATCTTTTAGGGATTAGATAAGAGTTCCCAAATACTTTTGACATTTTTGGCCTTTAGAACAGAGTATGTTGCTAAGAGGCCCAAGGACATTTTGACTTTTAGCCAAGAAACTGGCTACTTTTCTTTGGAGTCTTTTTATACTACCCAAACCTTCTATTCTTATCACACCATCCTCTGAAGAGGTTACCCAAATTATAGATAGGGAATCAGGACGCAGACTGCTCTGGCTTCTTCCGTATTGAACAGGGACACAGGGTGAGGCAGTTGGAGTACCCCTTCAGTGGTATATCTAAAAGACTCCCAAATTGTATAACTCTTATCTATAAGGAGAAAAAAAGGTCCTTGGCTGGTGAATAGGGGATGTGAAGGAGAAGTAAAGGCAAGAATAGTTAGGATTACAAGTTCTAGACAGGGAACTAGAAAAAAGTCAGAACAGGGCAAATTTCAAATGTTCATATCAAAGTCCATTGGGATTTCTTGACGAAAGCATCCAAAAGCATGCCTCTATTGGGTTCTTCCTCATTTTTCTTTTTTCTGCCAAGGCTGAACTCGAGAGTGATGGACTCAGGGTTTGTTTCCAAGCACTTTGATAGCTGTTGGAGTGGCTAGAATCAGTGTCAGTTCTCTCTCAAAGGCTTCTAGATAGGGGGAGAAAACAAATTTAGCCATCATTTTAGAACAATAGTGAGTTATCTCCCCTAGCTACAGGTGGGGACTACAGTATTGCAGACCAAGATTTGAAGTCTTACATCTGAGCAAAACTTTCTGCTTAGAAACAAAATCATCAATGATAAATAATTGTCTAAGTAACATTTTATGTGGACTTAAGCCTAATGTCTGGGAAGTGTAATCCCTTGAACTCTTAAAGAAATATACTGATCACTTTTAATCTTTGGTTATACTTTCCTTTTGGGTGTTTAAGACCATATAGTTGGCCCAAATAAACCAATTTATTTTTACTCTTCAGATCGTTTGAGGATCTGTTCCTTAGGATTCACATGGGCCTGGGAGAAACCTCTGGCTCCTTTGTTTTACCAGTTCCATGTATGTCAAAGGTTCTGCTCAACTGTGGGTGGCTTCACTTGGAAGCATGGAGGGAATGTTTCCTCTGTGTTGACCCTCCTCTTTGTTGACTGGAGTTCAAGTCCATCTCGTGGGGTCTCCATGATCTCCCTGAACAAGAGGACAGGTGACTTACCACAGTTACAGGACATTTTGAGAGATGTTTCATAGTCCCCTGGAACTTAGTCAACCTTGGAGGGCAAGGAGAGAAAACTGTCCTTTAAGTCCCTCTGAC